CTGACCAGAACATCAGTGCATCTGCACCACGGAAAAAGTAATTTGGAGCCGTTGGATTATTCCCACCCACTCCACCAAAATGGAAGTCCTTTAGTTCATCCACAAAAGCAAGGTTTATTTCTTACGTCTCAAACTTCTTAAAGATAAATAATACACCTCAAAAAGTACTTTAAAAAAAGTTTTGGTTGGAAAACAAGTAAGACATCAGCACATTATCAAAATAAAAACTGTCCGTGTATGACAGGAATTAATCCTTCCACATTTCTAACCCTCTCCCATTTTCTAGTTTAGCTTTAGCCATTCAAACTCAGCTCCTGGGTGAAATACTTTCCTTCAACTCTGGACGTATTATTCAACCACGGAAAGACAAGGGGCAAGGCACACAGTGTGGTTACGAGAAAAGGCAAAGGCCATCCTTCGTGTGTCAGGAGAGATATTTTCAGGAGATGCATGAAGCATTATGCACTGTATGAGGCCCCGGCAGCCCACTGGTCTCCTAAGCCAGCTGACAAGACTTCAGTTTTCAAAAGGGCTTTAAAGCAACTAAGGCAGCATGGGGTAAGTTGCTGCATTTTATCATTAATCAAAAATCAGTCAGAAGGTGGAAAGTGAAGAATTGGTCTGAGCAGTTGCTTTGTTCCTTAAAAAGGCCTCAAAAAGGCGGGTTAGCATTTTTATTAATGACCGGGTAAGCATGGTGAGCAGGGAAGGGCGACTGACGGAGAACAAAGTGTGGGTCAAAACCAGAGCAGGCTGGGGGGAGCCCAGCTGAGGGGAGAGGCGCCTGGCAGCCCAGAGTTCAGTGTCAACAAACACAAGGCGCCGTGAGACAGAGTGGGGAAGAGCAGAAATGTCTTCCCTCCCCCCTTCAGCGGGATCTAGAGTTACTGCATCAACCCGCGGCAGGGACTGGGCGTCTCCGTACGCGGCTCAGCCGAGGCCTCAGCCCAGCGTGCAGCTGCGGTGGAAAAAAAAAAAGCAAATACAAGGGCAGGAACCGTGCGCATGGGACAGAGGAGCGCAGGGCTGGCAGGAACCGCTGGGGTGGGGAGGGCAGGCACCTGCCGCCGCAGGCAACCACCAGGCATCCCCTTCCTCACAGGCGGGAGAATCCGCAGGGCCCTCAGGGGTCCCCGGCCCAGCAAAGTGCGAGCCCCCCGGGACACAGCCCACCAGCCGGCCCAGCAGCTGCTGCGCAGGAACCGGCCTGAACCTTTTCTCCTGAATATTAAACTCCCGATGACAGAGGGCTCACGGCTTGCAAAGGGTTTAGCCAAGATCTCGCATCTCACACTTCGATGCTCAGATGTTTGCTGATTTTCAGGGGCTGGAACAAAAGTCAAGGAGCGGTTTATCCCGGTCCTGCCAGGCAGTGCTGGCCACCACTTCGGCTGCCTTTCGGGCTGACGTGCCGGGGGCCGCA